TTTTCTTTATAAGCGTAAATCGCTTGCACCGTTTTATCTCGGATGCTCTTTTGCACATCGTACGATTTATACTTGAGCATAGTCTCAATATCAACTACCAAATCAAGCAGAGAGTCATTTTTCGGTGTAGGCGCAAAATTGAAACCTTTATTCAAAAGGTCCATTTCGGTCTCCGTAAACGTTTCATTCGATTGATTGATCACATAATTTTCAATAAATTGTGGCTCGCATACCGAAGAGAAACTATTTCTATTCTTTTCTTCTTTTTCAGCAATCAAATTGTCAAATTTTTGCTGTTGATTTGAAATTTTCTTTTCAAGCTCTTTCTCTCTTCGGTATGCGAGCCACAATTTATTGAAAATTATGTGATCAATCAATCGAATGAAACGTTTACGGAGACCGAAATGGACCTTTTGAATAAAGGTTTCAATTTTGCGCCTACACCGAAAAATGACTCTTTGCTTGATGTAGAGTACGTAAAGTACATCATTATAGCAAGTGTGAAACTACTTAATCTATTACTACATTTATATCACAGCGCCATTCACACACATTGTCAACTAGAATAAAACCATTGTGACATTAGCTAGTAAGAACATTGAATAAAGACTTTCTTCTGTTTCCGACACTCAACTGAGATACATCACATTGGCGGCAAAAGGGCAACTCAAAGTATTACTGCGAGAAAAGAATCTCAAGATCTCAGCAAATTCACCGTAAATTTTTTTTACATCGAAAAAGTAATCGTAAGAAAAACTTTTTTTTTTCTGAACATCTGTGCATTACATGAAAATCATCGACCAACGAAAAATGACGGACACGAAAATCATCACCGCATCATCGATGCCGGAGTTTAACCCGACAGAGAATTGGAATTTGTGGTTTGAACGTCTCGAATTACATTTTGTCGAAATTGAGTGCACAGACGAAAAGCAAAAAATTTCAATTTTATTGAAATTGATCGGAGCAGAAGCATATCAAATTCTGCATTGTTTATTCAGTCCGAAATTACCGAGCAAAGAGAAGTACAACGATTTGTGTGCGTTGATGAAAGCGCATTACACACCACCCGTAATTGTTTTCAACGAGCGAAGAAATTTCTACGCAGCGAAAATGGGAGCCGACGAACGTGTAGCATCGTGGTTTGCACGTGTGAAGAGGTTATCACTCGATTGCAAATTCGTCGCTGGTGATTTGGAACGTATCGTTTTGGACAAATTTGTCGTTGAATTGCCAAGCAAAATATTCGAAAAACTTTGCGAAGAAGACGAAACGCTGACGTTGCAAACTGCATTGAAAAAGGCGATGATGAAAGAAACAAAAATTCAACAATCGCAAAACAGCAGCGTGGACGTGAATTTCATCAAAGCGCGTGGCAAGCAAAGCAGCAGCAACGGCAACAACAATAACAATCGCAAGAAGAGCTACGGTAACGGGAAATCGAAAAAACCATGTGGGCATTGTGGTTGGAAGAACCACACATCATCATCATGCAAATACAAGGACAGCGAGTGCCATTCCTGTGGACGAACTGGGCACCTAGCCAACATTTGCAAGCAGAAGGATAAGAATAACGTCAATTTTGTTAATTTTTTTGATAAAAATTGTTCAATTTCTAGTGAAAATTTTTCTAATTCTGTTTGTAATTCCACTTCTACGTTTAGCATTGAACCATGCGATGTGACGAACTACGACTACCCAATTTATTCAATTGAGGGCTCGGAAGGGAACGATCGCTATGAGTTAACTGTGCTTGTGGATGGAGTCAGGCTTACGGTTGAATGTGACACTGGTGCACCATGTTCGCTCATATCAATTCACACATTTGATAAATACTTTGATCGAAGAGTTTTGAAACCATGCAACACACCTTTCTCCGGATACACAGGTGACCCATTGAAGATCATTGGTGAGTTTCAAACAGTTGTTAATTACAAAGGTCAAAAGATATCAGGAATAATTGTAGTGACAAACAGTGACCGACCGACTTTGTTAGGTAGAAATTTTCTACGTGCTTTTAGTTTTGAATTAGTACAAACAAATCGCGTCAACAATATTTTTGCGCCCAACGAAATGATTGATTCAATCAAAAGTGAGTTTCACGAAGTTTTTAGTTGCGGTTTAGGAAAGTATAACGTCACGACCATTAAATTACCCATTCAAAAAGATGTCACACCGATTTTTTGCAAACCTCGCCCTGTTCCGTTAGCATGGCGTGATATGATAGCGAAACAGTTAGATGACTTCGTTTCAAAAGGAATACTTATTCCCCTAGTGGCGAAGCGTTACGAGTACGCGTAGTACTACGTTCACTAATTCCCTAAACGTAGTGGTTCGTAGTGGTACGCGTAGTCGTAACGCTTCGCCACTATGCTTATTCCAGTAGACAATTCGGATTGGGCTACACCTCTTGTGCCATTATTGAAACCTTCTGGCGATATTCGCATTTGTGGTGATTACAAAGTCACAATTAATCGATTTTTAATCGATTTCAAATATCCATTGCCACGGATTGATCAAATTTTTTGCTTCAATGCAAGGAGGTATTTTGTTTACTAAACTTGACATGTCGAATGCATACAATCAGTTAGTTTTAGACGATGAAGCACAAAAATTGTGTACATGGAGTACACACAAAGGCATTTTCAAAATGACACGTTTACCGTTTGGCGTCAAAATTGCCGCCGCACTTTTTCAAAAGACCATGGAAAATCTCCTAAGTTGCTTCTCAAATGTATTCTGTTATCAAGATGACATTGTTGTCACCGGGCCAACTCTAGCAGATCATTTGAAAACGCTAAAACAAGTTTTGATTAAACTTCAGACAGCCGGTCTCAGACTAAACGTCAACAAATGTGAATTTTTCAAGGAAAAAATTTCTTATTTAGGATTTGACATTGACAAAAATGGTTTAAGTCGGAACAAAGAACGAATCAAATCCGTTCTCAATTCACCACGACCAAGGGATGTCTCTGAATTAAGAGCATTTATTGGCATGGTAAATCATCATTCATTTTTCATCGAAAATTTCGCTCAGGAAATGACACCGCTTTACCATTTGTTGCAAAAAAATGTTGAATTTAAATGGGATCAGGCTTGTCAAAATGTATTCGAACACATGAAAACAGAAATCTGTTCTGATCGAGTTTTAGTTCATTTTAATCCGAAATTATTAATTATTTTGTCTACAGATGCCTGTAATACAGCCATTGCTGGTATTTTATCTCATAAATATGAAGATGGAACCAAGAGACCTATTGCATATGTCTCACGCGCATTAAATAATGCAGAAAAGAATTACAGTACTATAGAAAAAGAAGCATTAGCCATCATTTTTAGTGTGATTAAGTTAAGACAATATTTATTGGGCATGTTTTTCACGCTTGAAACTGATCACAGGCCGTTGATCGCAATTTTTGGCGAAAATAAAGGCATTCCTTTAATGGCCGCTGCTCGTATGCAGAGATGGGCGTTTCTTTTGTCTGGTTTCAATTATTCTATTCAGTACATTAAAGGTTCTTTGAATACGGCTGATAGTTTATCACGTATTGCACAAGTTTCTACAGCGCAATCTATTACTACATTTATATCACAGCGCCATTCACACACATTGTCAACTAGAATAAAACCATTGTGACATTAGCTAGTAAGAACATTGAATAAAGACTTTCTTCTGTTTCCGACACTCAACTGAGATACATCACACTTGATTTGGTAGTTGATATTGAGACTATGCTCAAGTATAAATCGTACGATGTGCAAAAAAGCATCCGAGATAAAACGGTGCAAGCGATTTACGCTTATAAAGAAAA